TATAGGTTGGCGCCGGAGCACCCTCTCCCCGCCGCTTACGACGATTCATGGGCGGCGCTGCAGTGGATTGCCGCCCAGTCCCAGTCAGCCGACGGCGAGCTATGGCTCAAACAACTCGTCGACTTTCAAAAGGTATCCTAAAATCATATCAATAGAAACTTTCAAAATTTGGTTCCAATAAATTTAACATTTTTTTGGTTTGTTTTATTTTCATTTTCGGGCCTTTAAATCTTTTATTCATATTTTCTAAGGTTGGCAACGGGAGGGGATATGATATTATCTCAATTCCAACCTAAGATATTTTAGTCCTAATGTTTTAATTTTAAAAATGTAAAGAAAGTAAATTAGAGAGAATTTTAAAATCTTGATATTTTAAAATAATTTTTTTAACCTAAACTAAGAGGGAGCAACCCTTTTCTTTTTTGCGTCCTTGCACTTGATCGACGTCCAAAAAAATTAATGACAAGACATCATACTAAAGCTTAACTTTGTAGGTTTCATAAAATTAAAATTTTTATTAAAGATAAATATTTAGACGTTATTTAATTACTGGTTAGCACATGACCATTGTTAAAAAATGTGGGAAAAAAATATATTTTTCTATTCTAAAAAATTAAAAAACTCAATTTTTATATAAGCTTGAAAATGTGGGTTGAAGTAGGTAAGTATTGTTTTTTCTTAATTGTTAAAAAGTTATAGTTTGGTAGGTTGCACAAAAAAAAATTAATTTTTTATTCAACACCTCCTCGTATGTATAGCACTATATATACACTACCTTAAATTAATACTAAACCTAAAAACTTTAAGGTTACTATAAATTACGGGGAATCTCCGTCTTGTTCCCGCCCCTAAAATTTTGGGGATGGAACGAGGATGAGTGAAAAAATCTCCAACGGGAACAGGGATGGGGAACACCCCACCCATTGCCATTCCTACTACCACCATGAGCTTAACTCTACACTAATTAACACCTATCTCTAACTAAGATGTGATTCGTTCGATTATTCCACCAAGTTATTGTAAAAAAAATAGAGCATATACCACCCTTCAATATTTTTGCAATAAATTAATAATAATTTTTTTTTAATTTTAAGCAAAGCTTAGCAGCCATTATTACTTATTTATTTTTTTTTTGGAAGGTGAAAGTTGATCCGAAGTAGAAAAAGAAAAAAAAGTTTAACATTTTAAAAAATAAAAAGATCTGAAAGTAAAAAAGAAATCTAATATTTTTACTGTTTAATATAATAGGTGTTCTTGGTAGGCGACAGTGCGGGTGCAAACATCTCGCACCACATGGCCCTGCGAGCGAAAAACTCGGACGATCTGGCCGGAAAAATAAAAATAACCGGAATCGCTCTAATTCACCCCTACTTCTGGGGGGCGGAGCCAATCGGGTCGGAGATAACGGACGGCGAGAAAAAGGCTGAGGTGGACCGTTGGTGGAGCTTCGCGTGCCCATCGGAGAGAGGGAACGACGATCCGCTGATAAACCCGTTCGCCGAGGGGTCGCCGGAGATGGAGGGGCTGGCCGGCGACAGGGCGCTGGTGATTGTTGCAGAGAAAGATATTCTGAAGGACAGAGGGAAGCTGTACTATGAAAAATTGGCGAAGAGCGAGTGGAAAGGGACGGTGGAGATTATGGAGACGGAAGGAGAGGATCACGCCTTCCAATTGTTCAATTCAACTTCTGAGAATGCCAAGACCCTCCTTAGGCGTCTCGCTTTCTTCACAAATCAAGATTGATTCTTGTTAAAACTTCATCGTTTAATTTTAGTTAGTTTGGTTGGTTTAAGTTTAATTTCAACTTGTTCTACCTTAAGTCTAAGTTTGTGATTTTAAAAGTTGATTTGTATGATTGGCTCAGATTTTATGTTTTGAATATATTTTTCAATTTGTGCGACCATGCATCAATGTTTTTATATTTCTTTCTTAGTTCAACAAATTCGAGCCAACATCCAACCTTTTTAACCGTACTGATTTGTCCAACAAGTAGGGTAAGGTTGGAAAAGTCATGCTCCAATTATATTAGTTTAATTAGTTTATGACATGGTTTAAGACTTATAAGTAAAAATATGAAAATAGACAGTTTTTGAGTGGGTAAAAATTTCTTTTAGAATGATCCGTAAACTTTAACTAAATATGGTAGAACTAGGGATGTCAAAAAACATCTATAGAACCTAATCATGCGGTACCTAACTTGATTGAGTTAGGGAATTCTTGGTTTGACCCAAAATTTTAATTGGGATCGGGAAAGAGAGTATCCCAATCCCATTCCTGACTTCGTCTCATTTAATATTTAAATAATAAAATATTAAATATTTATTATACATAATAATAATGTCAAAGCAAGCATAGTTTAGAATAATTGACATATACTTCAAATCAAAAAGTCGTGAGTTCAAATCTCTCCTCCTATGTACTTAAAAAAATGATAAGAATAACAAATATTTATTATGTTATATTATACCAATTCAAGTATATTATTAAAAAAGTGTTTTAAAAAATAATAATAAAAAAAAGAAGGGAATGCCCCGTTTTATTAGGGATGGGTTCCTTTCGGAAACTTGTTCCTCCTGGCCTCACCCGTTGCTCGTACATATTGTTTAACTAAAAAAAGGAGACAGAATTTTAAAGTCACAAGAATGAAACCAAATTGTTACTTTTAAACCATTGAAACTATTATTTTTATAATACCTATTACAACTGAACACATAACTATCTGAACTAATATGAATTTAACGTACGTTTATGCGTGCATATATGTGGTTCATTACTGTACATTATTTTTTTAATTAATATGAATTTATTTATTCGTTCAACTACAGATTGACCATAATTCGCAAACTTCAAAGGTGATCGAAACTTGCGTGTGTTTTCAGACATTCTAGGAAGTCATTCTAAGATTCTGAAGCACAAACGTTTCGATTCATACCTTAA